ATAACAGAAAACCTGTGCCTTTGGATGAAGAGTCACAAACGAAAATTGGCAAGCAAGCTTCATAATGAGTATGAGCCAGTGCTACACATGCCTACTTAGAAAGAAAACCTGAACGAGATGGGGCCTCAGAATGCCGCAGGTTCATGTGGCATAAACAATGTCTACCACTGCAAGGGCAAGAAGTTGCACGTTTAGGAACAGACACACATCCATGTCCACCAGGACCTGGAGTTGTTTTAGCAGGAAATACTGGGGCTGGTGCTGTGGCACAGTAAGTTAAACCTCTGCCTGCAGCACCAGCAACCCATACGGGTGCCAGTTCAAGTCCCGGCTGCTCCACTTTCAGATCCAGCTCCCTGTTAATGGCCTGTGAAGGCAACAGTAGATGGCCCAAGTGCTTGGGCCCCTGCACCCACAAGGGAGACCCGGATGAAGCTCCTGTCTCCTGGCTTCAGCCTGGCCCAACCCTGGCCATTATAGCAACTTGGGGAGTGAACCAACAGATGGAAGACCCCTCCCTCTCTTTCCCTCTCTGTAACTCTTCCAAATTAATAAATATATCTTTAAAAAAAAAAGACTTGAATTCTTCATTTAACTTCTGTTTTTATTCCAAAAATAAGTTTTGAGTTCATGCTCTGCAAGGACTGCACTAGATGCTGTTAAGTAAATAGACAAATAAAATGTCTCCACACCCATTCTTATAGCTTGCTATAGAAATTTTGACCAGGGGTGGGGTGGGGTGTGGGTGGGAGCTGAGAACAGAAGAAAATACTGCTCATTTTTCCTGGGGAAGATCAGGGGAGACATCACAGAGTAGGCAGCATTTGGGCTGGCCTTGAAGTGACAGAGGACAGAGATGGAAAACATATTCTATGATGAGGCATAAAGTGAATGAAACCAGACAGGAATGTGAGCAGTCTCTTCTAGAACAAAGAATTGTCTGCTGCAATTGAGTAATGGAGAGTACAGCTGACTCGTGGTGGGGAAAGGTTTTGAGTTCAGATTGTAGTCCAGCAGCAGTAGCAGTCCAATACTGATGTTAAAACTTAAGGAAATAACTCTAGAGATACCAGTGGAGCTATTCAAACTGTAGCAAGGGCCGCAATCTTGCAGAGATTTTATAGAAAAATGGAGTTTCTAATACCTATGCCTCCTTTTGGTAAACACAGGTTATATAAATCTTCCCCTTGGGATCCTAATTCCCTATTGGTCCAACTCCATAGCTGTAATTAGAAAACATAGCACAAGAGAACTCAATTTAAAAATTGTTTTACATTATTTACTTGAGACAGACACATAATTAGAGAGGGAGCTTCCATTTTCTGGCTCAGTCTCCAAATACAAGAGCTGGAGCTGGACCAAAGTAGAAGCCAGGAGCCAGGACTCAATTCAGGGCTGACACGGGGATGGCAGGAATCCAATTATTTGAGAGGTCACCACTGTCTCCCAGGCAATGCATTGGCAGGAAGCTGAGAATCCAACCCGAGCACTCAGGGAGGGTGCTATGGTGCAGTGGGTTCAGTCACCATTATAAGTATCAGAGTAGCTGGGTTTGAGTCTAGCCTCTGTTCTGATCCAGCTTCCTGCTAATGGCAGGCTAGAGGCAGCAGATGATGGGTCAAGTGCTTGGATGCGTGCAACCCACGTGAGAGACACAGATGGAGTTCAGTGTCCTGGCTTCAGCCTGGCTCAGCCCTGGCCATTGCAGTCAGTTGGCAGTGACCAGCAGATCAAAGAGCTCTCTCTCTTTTTTAAAAAATAAAATTTTATTTGAAAGTCATAGATATTTTCCATCCATACACCATATTGTCCACAAAGTCTAAAACATTGTTTGGTCCTATGTGAAAATGCTTACCAATACCTGCTGTGAAACTTGCTTAAGATAGTAGTTGGAGGGGCCAGCACTGTGGTGTAGCGGGTAAGGATGCTGCCAGCCGTCCCGGCATCCCATATGGGCACCAGTTTGAGTCCCTGCTGCACCACTTCTAATCCAGCTCTCTGCTATGGCCTGGGAAAGCAGAAGAAGATGGCCCAAGTCCTTAGGCCCCTGTGCCCGTGTGGGAGATCCAGAAGAATCTCCTGGCTCCTGGCTTTGGATCAGCACAGCTCTGATCGTTGCAGCCATCTGGGGAGTGAACCAGCAGATGGAAGTCCTCTCTCTCTACCTCTCCTTCTCTCTCTGTGTAACTCTTTCAAATAAATAAATAAATCTTAAAAAAAAAAAAAAAAGATAGTAGTTGGAGTTTCTCCCTCTTGCAATTGTCACAGCAACAGCGATAAGAAAAATAAGAGTTCAGCAGAAGTGTATTAGTATTTGGAACTTTTAGGCAAATTGGCAACCCACTGTCCAACTAACAACAAATTACAGCCTCCTTTCATCCCAAATCTGGAATTAGGTGTTGCTCCCATAGCAAAGAGGATGTGCCAATTTATTCGCCCTCCTTAGACTGCACGTCGCCTGAACAGAGGCTGTATCCTCCTGTGGAATAAGTACAGGCACACTTCTTATCACCATGGCTGCTCAGGTCTCATCTTCCCCATAGAAAACAGCAGCATGGAGCAGCAACAGCTCTGCTGTTCAGAAGACCTGGGTTCCAGTCCAAGCAAAATGGGAAAGCTAACCGTTCCAGTGGTACCCTTCAGGAATGTATCATTTACTGGGCACAAAATTACTTCACATTTCACAATTCAAATAAACATTAAGGACATAGTACGATCTTTCTAAGCAAATTATATAGTTTCTGTGGCAAACAGATGTGATGCTGATATCCCCTGAAAAAAGGGCTTGTGCCCAGCTCCCAAGGGTGTGGCTAACACTGGACTTGACAGCCACTGGTTGTTAGCTTGGTCAGAGTTCACCTCAGCTTTCCAGCCACAGTCACAGTCACCTTGAGAGGGCCCCCAGTGTCCTGCCAATGCAGTTGCAGTGGGGAGCCTTTTCCACCCAATATCCTACTCTGGTAGACAGTTCTTTGCTCTGAAGCCCTCGCCTGGGCTGATAGCAACTCTGGCAGTGCTACATCACTGCTTCCCTTCCCTAATTTTGCATCATCCCCTCCTTGTTCACTGGAGGTTTACGCCACTCAGCACTTTGCACTTCCACATACACTGCAGTATCCACTCCAGGAAACGCCATTCCCTTCCAGTCCAGTCTACTGATTTAACCTCCCAGTTATTTAACCCGGCGTATGTTAATGAGGCTTAACAGCACTCCCTTACACTGTGGTATTTCATATCTCCAAAGACATTGAGGTCTAATGCAGGTGTGACTGTTTCTTCAGATGAACATTGCAGCTTTAACAGCAAAACATTTGATATATCGATTCAAACTATTTTATGTTGTTTTAAAAAATATTATTGAGTTAAATATATTTGATAAAGATCCATTTATTATCCAACAATGCCTTAAAGAACTTTCAAATACACACCAAGGTATAATAGTGCCCTCTGGTGGAAGGTAACAGGAACTGTTCATTACTCAACACAGTTCTGAAGCCCTATCAACTCAGGGTTAGCTTCTGTTTACCTAGTTTGAGCAGTTTTAAAATATGGTCAAATAACGAAAGATGCGATTGATTTTGAATCAAAGCATTAGAGCCCAGACCATTCAGCTTGTTTTCCACCCCTGGGCCTTCAGGGTATAGCAGGCAGCATTCTCTGTGGCACAGATTACTCACTAACCTTGCTTTTCCAAGTGGCTTTCGTCAGCATCTGATAATCAGTTTCTAACCGCTTTGAAGCCACTGATTATCTGACTTCCCCACAAAAACGGAAGTTCCAGGAGAGCAGGGCCTCTGCCTCGTTCACTAGGGCACCCTCAGTGCTGCTGAGTACCAGACAGGTACTCAAAACTTTCCGAATAAATCCATCTCTTAATTAAGGCGACTATTAGGCCAGCCTTGGAATTAAGAGGGAAAAACTCAAGCGAGGGAAAATTTTACTGTAAACTTAAAGCATCCTGGGATAATAAATTTTGGTCTATCAGAGAAGTAATGCCCACAACCCAGTCAGGGAGAACTAAAAAGTCTGGCAGAAGAAATTAGGGGACGGCCAGACTGGTGTAGAGACGTTGTCACGTATGTCCAATATGCATTAACTGTTGAAAGTGAATGCCTGAAGACACCCCTGTTACAGAACAATAACATTTACGAAGGCTTTGCTTCAATATTTACAGAAGGAGTCCTGAAGCATCATGCCAACTCAGGCTACTAAAAGTAGCTAACAAAAAAAAAAGATTGGACTTAGTGATTTTTAGAACAAAAGGTTAGCACTATCAGTCAGTAAAAAAACAAATGTTAAGAAGTTACTTAGAAAAATTATTTATTTCTGCTCCTTTCATACATCATATTGGTCAGGAAAGCCTTGCACACATATCTGAAACATCATACTATCACACACTCTGTTTAAAGGCAAAGCACCATAGGTAAAGCTGATCAGCTGTCTAGAGTTCTCAGCTGGTGGGATCATGCTTCGTGATTTTACGTTGAGTTCTGAAAATCAGAAATGTCATCAAAAAATGTTAAGGGGGTTGTAAAAAATAATCACTTTATTCAATATTACGAGTGTATTTTCTTTAAGAAATGAAAAACTAAGAAGAAAATGCCAGTCATCATTGGTATGTCAGTACAGGTCAGCAGGAAAAAATACTGTGATAAACTGTCTCTCTGACACCACGAAGAAATTCTAGTCCAAGCTTTAATATGCTTCCTATGCTTAGTCGATACTTTTACTGCTGTTCTTCATTCTTTTCCACATTTCAAACAGAGGATTGGTACAGCCTTTAAAACTTCATTAACAGGAGCAAATCCAGTATCTTGACTTCTTCTCAAAAGGCACTCTAACCCATCAGATAGCCCCTGTAGAAATAAAATTTATAAGTAGAAAAAGTGAAAAGAAAGCAACATTCCAATGTATATTATGAATCAAATTTCATGAATCAAATGACAATCAGAAGATATGAATGTGTGATTTTTCATTATGGTTATTTTCTATCTTGCCCCTCTTGCCCCAGTAAATAAATGTAATAAAAGTAAATTACTGGGACTCGGTTCTATTGCACTTTCCCCTCAAAGTATAAAGTTACAAAACAATATAGTAAAACAACACAGAAAAGGAAAATACCAAGGTAGAGTTAAGAGTCAGAACCAACCTTGCTTGGACTCTTGACTCTGCCTCTATCACTTTCAGGGTAAGCCTAGGCAAACTTCACTCAGTCTACTCATCTGTAAAATGCCATTTCCTCAAAGGGTTTTAAGGATTATACAAGAAAATCTACTTATATACTACCTGCTACTCATGGAATTCAAACTACTTTATGGCACTTAAGTCTACTACGGTGTCTGGCGAAGAGCAAACTCTTAAGGGTCAGACATTCTCTTTAAAAAGAAAAGCAAAAGGGGCTGGCGCAGTGGCTCACTTGGCTAATCCTCCACCTGAGGCGCTGGCATCCCATATGGGCACCAGGTTCTAGTCCCGCCTGCTCCTCTTCTAGTCCGGCTCTCTGCTGTGGCCCAGAGGGCAGTGGAGGATGGCCCAAGTGCTTGGGCCCTGCACCCACGTGGGAGACCAGGGGGAGGCACCTGGCTCCTGGCTTCAAATTGGCGTAGTTCCGGCTGTGGCAGCCATTTGGGGGGTGAACCAGCGGAGGGAGGACCTTTCTCTCTGTTTCTCTCTCTCACTGTCTGTAGCTCTACCTCTCAAATAAATAAATTAAATCTGAAAAGAAAAGAAAAGAGAAGAGAAGAGAAGAGAAGAAAAGAAAAAAGAAAAGAGAAGAGAAGAGAAGAGAAGAGAAGAAAAAGAAAAAGAAAAAGAAAAAGAAAAAGAAAAAGAAAAAGAAAAAGAAAAAGAAAAAGAAAAAGAAAAAGAAAAGGAGTATATGGTCCAAGTGCTTGAGCCCCTGCAACCAAATGGGAGACCTACATGAAGCTCCTAGATCCTGATTTTGACCTGGCCCAACCCTGGCTGGCCATTCAGGAATAAACCAGGCTCTCTTTGTTTTTGTAACTCTTTGAAATAAATCAATAAATATTTTTCAAAAAAAGTATTTTTGAAAAAAAAAACATTTTTAAAAAAAAAACCTGATTTTCTTCCCTTTCAGCTTCTAGACTCACTGGATGTCCTGGAGGATTTAGATCTTTGTGCAGCCAACATAACTGATCTAGAACTCATGCATTCCTCTCCCTTCTGCTGTACCACACTTTGAATAAAGAGAATTGGCATCTAACACAACCACCGTTACAACTCCAATACAATCCAACACTTCTCACTTCCCCAGCCCCAAAGCTGCAGAAAAATAAAAAGGTTCTTTGGGTATATACACTGTCTTTGCTTACTAAAAAGCCTGATGCTTCGCAAAAAGGGTACTGTAAGAACAAGGCTTCATTGGGGCCGGCGCCGTGGCGCAGCGGGTTAACACCCTGGCCTGAAGTGCCGGCATCCCATATGGGCACTGGTTCTAGTCCCGGCTGCTCTTTTTCCAATCCAGCTCTCTGCTATGGCCTGGGAAAGCAGTAGAAGATGGCCCTGCACCCACGTGGGAGACCCAGAGGATGCTCCTGGCTCTGGATCGGCTCAGCTCCAGCCATTGCAGCCATCTACAATGGGAGTGAACCAGCGGACAGAAGACCTCTCTCTCTCTGTCTCTCCTCTCTGTGTAACTCTGACTTTCAAATAAATAAATCAATCTTAAAAAAAAAAAAAAAAAAAAGAACTAGGCTTCACAAGAGAAAAGGTGCAGGATTTTAAGCAATTATCTATTGCTATCTGCACCACATAGTGGAAGTTACTCAACAGCAGGTTTATGCTATGAAACAAAGGTACTGAGGAATCTTTTGGTACAGTTTCTTGTCATTCACATACATGGATCCATGAAACCATGTATTGTGGTCTTCTTCCTTACACTTAGATGGAGAAGAGTATTTAAATGGATATATCCTTATTGATATATCCTTATTCAAAGCTACTAGACTTTCTTCAAAAGCTCATGAAAAAGTGGAATTAAAAATATTTCAGTGTGAAAATGTTTTTAAATCCACGGTTTTTTCATAACATACATTTTCCATGAACTTTTTCAAAATGCTTCATATGCATGGATCTCAAAACATTCTGCACCAAAATAAACTTAATCATTTGATTCCAATTTCCACCAACTTTGGAAGTATCCTTTTATATTAAGGCAGGCATTGTGTGAGGTTGGCACTAACACAGAAATTTCTCAAAATATTATGACAAGAATTATATTTAATTCTTTCAATAATCTTAAAAGATATTTGAAATAAGCATTATTCTGATTTTACAGCTGAAGAGTGACAATGTAGGAGCAATTAATGGAGAAAAACAGAACAAGCAGGAAAACACGTGCCTCCGTACTCTGGATCCATTACCTTCTCAAATGAACCCCAAAACGGAAATCTCGCTTTCTTCTTTTAGAAACGGTAATGGTTTATTTTATTTATTTTTGAAACTATGGACTGAATCCAATTTGATACACAGAACTTCTAGGATTCTGTTTATCTTTACAATAAAAACATTAACATTGATGTTATGCTTGATAACCACATAAAACACCTTCTCATTTAATCTTGACAGTTACTCTCTGAGGTACATTATTAACTTCCTTTAACAGATTTGGAATCTGAAACCAAGAGAGTTCACAGAACTAATCCAAAGTCACAGAGCTATTAAGAAGCAAGCCAAAAACTGGACTCCGCAGATTCTTCACTTCCTCCACTATACAGTCTTCAGCAGCTGTACAAATGTTTTTCCTTTACCACTGACCCTCTCATTTGCTAAAAGTGCACCCTGGATACAAGATCTTACTCACTGAAACAACCAAGCTGCCAGATTATCTACAGCCTTAACTTTCTGAAAAATAGCTCCCTTTCTGGAAGCAAATGAAAGACTCAAACATTTGAAAGGATGCTTACAACACCAGGCCAAAGTTTTCTGCTAGCCAGACTGATTTAAAAGGCAATCAAATAACTAGGTTATCTACTGCCTGAAATCACAGAATACCTAGCAAACTGAAAAGAGGAGGAGGAAAAGGATGAAGTCACAATAGGCATTTACCGGTGACAATGAGAAGTGACAGGTTACACTGAGGAAACAAACTAAAAAACTGAAAAGCAGTACAATGTATGATATATATATTATATATATATATATACTTAATATAAAATGACTTAAGTCAAGAAGGTAAAATTATGCTTATAGTACTCAGAAAATAATAGGCATTAAATAACAAATATTTGCCAAATACAAATGTGTTAAGGTGGCAATGCAACATAAACACTTTAGAAAGAGGTCTACCAAAAGTCTATGAACTTTTTGGTACTTGTAGGGTTAAATTTAAGTAACAAGGAAGGATCACATACCTGGATCGCATCATCCCCTAAATGATATAATTTATGTAGTGCCATGGTCTTAGTTTTAATTTTTCATTTCCCTCAGCCTTTTTTTTTTTTAAGATTTATTTATTTATTTGAAAGGCAGAGTTAGAGAGATCTTCCACCCACTGATTCACTCCCCAAATGGCCACAACAGCAGGAGCTGGGCTGATCCAAAGTCAGGAGCCAGGAGCTCCTTCCAGGTCCCTTGTGTGGGTGTAGGGACCCAAACACTTGACCATCTTCCACTGCTTTCCCAGGCACATTAGCAAGGAGGTGGACTGGAAGTGGAGCAACAGGCACTCAAACCACTGCCCAAATGGGATGCTCCAAGGGCTTTACCTGCTACACCACAGTGCCGGCCCCTCCTTGGTCCTTTTAAAAGATCTTCTTTTCAGAACTGATACCATGATTTGAGGATTTACTCAGAAGCTCCCCAACTTTCCTCGTCAAGCCTAACAGGCACTAGTTCAAATTGCTAAAATGGCCATTGTTGTCAGTTTGAGTAAAGTAGGTCTTTTGTCCTCAGTTACACAATTGTGTCTATTTAGAGTAGTTTTCTACAGTTTTATAACAGACTTGCCTGTAGGTAGAAACCCATCCATCCACCTCCAACTGAACACCTTGCCTGATTTTACACCATTACACTTTAACACAACAGGTTACCTTTTGTTTTTATTAAGATTCTGTGTTTTGGGGCCCAGCGCTGTGGTGTACCAGGTAAAGCCGCTGCCTGCAGTGCCAGCATCCCATATGGGCGCCACTTAGAGACCCGGCTGCTCACTTCTGATCCAGCTCTGTGCTATGGCCTGGGAAAGCAGCAGAAGATGGCCTGGGGCCAGCACTTTGGCATAGTGGGTAAAGTTGTTGCCTGTAGGCCAGCATCCCATATGGGCACTGGCTCAAGTCCCGGCTGCTCCACTTCTAATCCAGCTCCCTGCTATGGCCTGGGGAAGCAGAAGATGACCAAGTCCTTGGGCCCCTGCACATGGGAGATCCAGAAGGTGCTCCTGGTTCCCGGCTTCAGATCAGTGCAGTTGTGGCCAATTGGGGAGTGAACGAGCGGATGGAAGACCTCTCTCTCTCTCTCTCTCTCTTTCTCTCTCTCTGCCTCTCCTTCTCTGTGTAACTCTTTCAAATAAATAAATCTTTAAAAAAAAAAAAAAAGATTCTGCTTTTTGGGGCCAGTGCTATGGCACAGCAGGTAAAACTGCCACTTCCCATATGGGCACCAGTTCAAGTTCCAGCTGCTCCATTTCTGATCCAGCTGAGAAAGCAGTTGAAGATGGCCCAAGTTGTTGGGCTCCTATACCCACATGGGAGACCTGGAAGAAGCTCCTGGCTCCTGGCTTCAGATCAGCACAGCTTCAGCTATTAGGGCCATTTGGAAGTGAACTAGCAGATAGAAGACTTTTCTCTATGCCTCTGCCTCCTTATAGCTCCACTTTTCAAATAAATAAATCTTTTTTTTTTTTTTTAGGAGGCATTTTTTTAAAGATTTATTTATTTATTTGAAGTCAGAGTTACACAGAGAGATGTGAGGCAGAGAGAGAGGTCTTCCATCTGATGGTTCACTCCCCAATTGGCTGCAATGGCCGGAGCTGCGCTGATCTGAAGCCAGGAGCTTCCTCTGGGTCTTCCATGTGGGTACAGAGGCTCAAGGACTTGGGCCATCCTCCACTGCTATCCCAGGCCCTAGCAGAGAGCTGGATCGGGAGTGGAGCAGCCGGGCCTCGAACCGGCACCCATATGGGTTGCCAGTGCTTCAGGCCAGGGCATTAACCCGTTGCGCCACAGCGCCGGCCCCAATAAATAAATCTTTTTTTTAAAAAAAAAAGATTCTGCTTTTGGCTCAGAACTGACTTAACAGTAAAAGCTAAAGACAATCTAATAACCATGCACTATTTTTCAAAAGAAGCAAGTGAAAACCTGTACCAAAGTCTTCTAACCAGCATCCAGATATCATTTATTTCTTTGAATCTGTATACGTTTAAAATATACCCACCACAGAAATATAGACAATTTCATATCCATTATCTCATGAATTCTACTACAAATTTTTATTTTCAGAAAAGTGCTCCTTAATAAGTTGTACTTTATCAAGGATTAAAATTTAATTTTTCATTTAAAATGTATTGCTATGTGTACATCAAATAGTAAATATTGTTTTACTGATTTCCACATTTTTTCAAAAGGCATCAAATAAACTAGTTTAGTAAATTTACACCAATAGAAGATACATCACATCTTTAAAGAAGCATTAATTCAAAAAACAAAAGAACCTACTAGTAATACTGTTTGTGTACTATTGTTTTCTTCTTCTTAAAGATACCTCTTGCTAAAGGTAGCATCTAACTCTCTGTGAAAAAGAATTTAATCCTAGAAGTTGTCATGGTGCATCTTAGCAGCACAGGCTTCCTTCACCTCAAGTGCTAGAAACTTGGATTGGAAAACCCAGTGGCTACCAGTACCTTTTTAACATCGCCTTTTCTTATTGTTGTTACTCTATCTATTATATATCAAGCTGTCTATGTATTTTATGTGAAAGAAGAAAGTTGCACACATTTCTCACCCAACCCGATCATGGGCAATATGAAGGTCCACAGACCTCACTCATCATCTACTTTGAAAGCTGCAAATATTTCGGGAAAGGCAACTCCAAAACTTCTCTTTATTTAAAACTATCTACTGTTTCTCTGCACTCCATACCCTAGGCACCAGGCATGAAGAGACATAATATCAAGTAAGTATTCATAAATTCTTTTCTCTAGAAAATTCAAATCACAAATTTAGCTATATGACAAGTTACAGAAAACAGTAATTTTCTGTGCAGATGAGTGCTCTGCTCTGATTACATATAACCATAATTTATGCAAGGGACATCTTATTTCCCCACCACCTTCTTAGATTTAGTCAACAATTTTGCCAAATCTCGGCTTACAGAGAGGGGATAGAAAGAAAGACGTTTCCATAAATAATTTAAAAAGATCAAAGCAATTCGAAGAAGCAAATATTGTCTAAAGCTTTTTCATAAGCAACAGACATATCTGCCAAATGCCTTGCCTAAAAGATAAAATACCTCTTTTATTATTTAGCATACATTTAGATAGGACCTAAAACTTTAAAGAAGAATGAGAACAAATCTTGTTTTTTGGGGCAAAACCAGCTCAATTCTGTTGTGCTCTATGCTTCCACGGTTTCTTCTCTGTCTGTTGTTTACAAATAATACCCTCTTAACTCTCCCTAGAACCTCCCCTCTGGGAGCTTCCTCTTCTCCTGCTGTTACAGAAAACTTCAGTCTCTTCCACACCAGTGTACTTTATCAGGCTCTGGTAACTTAACCTCAAATAGGGCAGGAAAAAGAGAAACAGAAAGTGACCAGAGTACCTAAGTCTACCTGCTGCTTAGTCAATGCCGGGATGTTTTCCACAGGCAAAACCAAGAGCCACTGGCTGAGAAGTTGGAAGGGGCTCTGCAGTCACACAGGTACTCAGACGCCACAGAACCCTGTGTTCCTCTCCTACGCTGCCAGGACTAAGATTGGGATGCGAATGCAGGTTAAGCAGTTCTGATATTCTTTTTTTTTTTTTTTTATTTTTGACAGGCAGAGTGGACAGTGAGAGAGAGAGACAGAGAGAAAGGTCTTCCTTTGCCGTTGGTTCACCCCCCAATGGCCACCGCGGCCGGCGCACCACGCTGATCTGAAGCCAGGAGCCAGGTGCTTCTCCTGGTCTCCCATGGGGTGCAGGGCCCAAGGACTTGGGCCATCCTCCACTGCCCTCCCAGGCCACAGCAGAGAGCTGGACTGGAAGAGGGGCAACCGGGACAGAATCCGGCGCCCCAACCGGGACTAGAACCCGGGGTGCCAGCACCGCAGGAGGAGGATTAGCCTAGTGAGCCATGGCGCCGGCCCAACAGTTCTGATATTCTAAGAGAAGCCAGGTCATTCTACCCTAGATGTGTAACATACAAAATTCAAACACGTTAGGAAATCAGTAGAGTTGACATTTGATATTAAACACAATCTCTAAAAAAATAAAATTACTCGGAGCTAACTTCTGTGCTATGCTTGCTGAAGTTACTTCAGTTACTAATGTATCCACACATGAACTCAAAATATATTCAACTTTGATCAGACTTGTTATATTTCAATTTAATGACCTCAGTGGAATTATAAAAGTTGCCATACAGCCAATTTGTTTTTCTTGTAAAGATACTATATTTCTCCGGGCCAGCGCTGTGGCACAGTGGGTTAACACCCTGGCCTGAAGCGCTGGCATCCCATATGGGTACCGGTCCTAGTCCTGGCTGCTCCCCTTCCGATCAAGCTCTTTGCTGTGGCCTGGGAAAGCAGTAGAAGACGGCCCAAGTCCTTGGGGCCCTGCACCCGCATGGGAGACCTGCAAGAAGCTCCTGGCTCCTGGCTTCGGATTGGCACAGCTCCAGCTGTTGCAGCCAATTGGGAAGTGAACCATCGGATGGAAGACCTCTCTCTCTGTCTCTACCTCTCTCTGTAACTCTATCTTTCAAAGAAATAAAATAAATCTTAAAAAAAAGATACCATATTTCTTAATAAAAATGCTCTTTAAGTACATACTATATATAAAATCTAATTCTTTTCCCATCTTTAAGGAGGGCGACAACTTTCCTTTCCCATCCAAGGGTTAATGGGCTTTCTTCATACCAATATCCAAACAGCAGCAGCAATTCAAGTTTGAAAAATATTCCCTACTATCGTAATTACTACTGGAAACCTATATTACAGAGTAATCAAAAGATACTTTAGAGAAAAAGTGATCATCTCGATCAGTGATATTGACGGCAAAATAACCAAGTTTTCTCATGAACATGCATGGGGATAACAGCCCAGAAGATGACTTACTGGTCTCAATTTTGTTACTAATCATAGCTACAACCTTAAGCAAATCACAACTCTTTTTGCTTCTTGAATTTTTCATCTGTTTAACTGAGGATTAAGTTGAATCTGTTATGATTTTAGGTTGTCTAGTGTTACAGATTGAACAGAAAGTGGCTGCCCAAACTCAACATAGATTTTTTTTTTTAAATTGACAGGTAGAGTTATAGACAGTGAGAGAGAGAGAGACAGAGAAAAAGGTCTTCGTTCTGTTGGGTTACTCTCCAAATGGCCACAACGGCAGGCGTTTCGCCCATCCGAAGCCAGGAGCCAGGTGCTTCTTCCTGGTCTCCCATGCCGGTGCAGGGGCCCAAGCACTCATGCACATCCACTGCTCTCCCGGGCCACAGCAGAGAGCTGGACTGAAGAGGAGCAGCCGGGACTAGAACCCAGCGCCCATATGGGATGCTGGCGCTGCAGGTGGAGGATTAACCTAGTGAGCCTCTTCTCATAGATGTTTAAACTCTGAAATCTTATGTTAAGGGTTGCTTAAGGATAAAAATTTAATAAAATTATGGAATGTGACAAGTAGGCCTAGTGGGAGGTCTTTTGGTCACTGGATACTTGCCCTCAGAAGGTAGTTATCACAAGAGGGCTGGTTATTTAAGCCAAGTTAAATCTACTTCTCTCTTACTTCCTGATTCACCACATGATCGTCTCCCCATACCTGCTGTGGCATGACCTATCTCCACAAAATGCCAGACCAATGAGGTCACTTGATCGTGAACTGAGAACCTCCAAATTATTATTTTAATAAATCCTTTTCTAATGCTGCAAATACAGTTTTATCAAACTGTTTTTTATATTAAACCAAAGATTAAAAAGAAAAACTAAGATAGTTTTAATGATCTGTGATTATTTTAAAATTTACTGTGCATGAGTTAAATAGTCATCTTTTCATCTGATTATTGCTATAGTCCTTGCCTATATTTCCACTGAACTGGGGTCTTTTTACTTTTTACTTGCTTAACTCTTCATTTAGTGGAGCATTAAGCCTTTGATTATAATGTAAATTAAACATGTTCTCTCAAAGACAAAGGAAGAAAGAAAAAGGAGGGGAGGGAGAAGGGATGAAAGAAAGGAGTATCATTATAGCCTTGGAATTGTTTCTACGGAAAAATAAAAAACATAATAAAATAATAAACTCTTTCCTTCCCAAGAAGCTCCTCTCAAGACATGAAAAGCTGACTAATACATCCAGATAATCCTTTCACACAAGATAAATTGCTGATCACACAAAAAGTATTTAATAACTTACGGCAGTTTCATTCTCATGAATACTCTAGCCATGAAAAAACTCAATAGGACACAAACGAATCCAATGAATAGAAGAAGAAATCTATTGAGTTTTGGAATATTTGGTGCATTGGATCGGTCTAGGATAATGAAACCTAAACCTCCCATTGTAAACAGGAAGCTGGATGCAAGTCCTTCCATAATATATTGTCCATTTACTCTGAAAAATAAAAAACAGCAAAACAATAAATTAAAAATTTCAGAAAAATGAAAGGTCTCTCTTAGATTTAATTATCCATACCCTTATAACCATTCTGTTCATTCATTCAACAAATACATTGAGAGTCTGTCATGTGTCAAATACAGGTTGAAGGATCTCAGGATAAAATAAACAAGGGTCCAGCATTGTAGCGTAGCAATAAAGCTACCTGCAATGCCAGCATCCAATATGGACACCAGGTTGAGTCCTGGCTGCTCCACTTCCAGATCCAGGTTCCTGCTAGTGCACCTGGGAAAGCAGAGGATGGCTCAAGTGCTTGCGCTCCTGTACCCATGGGAGACCTGGAACAAGCTCCTGGTTCCTGGCTCCTGGCTGGCCCTGCCCTTGGCTGTTGTAGCCATTTGGGAAGTGAACTATTAGATAAGATATTCTCTCCCTCTCCTTCTCTCTTTCTCTCTCTCTCTCTGCTACTCTCTGAAACTCTTTCATTTATTTATCTTTTATTTATTAAATAAATAAATCTTTAAAAATAAAAACTCATCAAACTTTAACTATGTAATAATAAATTCTCACAATTTAATTGTTAGTTAAAAAAACCCACAACCCTTCCCCCAGAATTCTAGCCTTTAAAAGTTACATTATTTAAATCTCTACTATTGGGCCAGCTTGTGGTGTACGGTTAAACTGCCAACAAGGATGCCAGCATCCCATATCAGAGCTCCTGTCTGAGCCCTGGCTACTCCACTCCCAACGTAGTTCCCTGTTAATTGACTGGGAAAGCAACGGAAGATGGCCCAAGTGCTTTTTGAACCCTGGCACCCACATGGAAGAACAGGATAGAGTTCCAGGTTCCTAACTTTGGCCTGGCCCAGCTCTGGCCATTGTGCTATTTGGAGAGTGAAGCAGCAGATAGAAGATCTCTTTGTCTCTCTGTTTCTTCCTCTCTCCATCACTCTGCTTTCCAAATAAATAAAATAAATCTTTTGTAAAAATTTCTGGCAACTTCAAGTTGATTTTGAATTGGTTGGAAATGTTTCCTGAGTTTTACTGTAATAATAAACATCTTGTTTCAGTGGGAAATATTTTAAAGATTTATTCATTTTAAAGTCAGAGTTACAAGGAATGGAAAAGACAGAAAGATCTTCCATTTGCTGGTTCACTCCCTAAGTGGCTGCAACAGCCAAGACAGAGGCAGGCTGAAGCCAGGAGCTAGGAGCTTCTTCTAGGTCTCCCACACAGGTACAGAGCACCAAGCATCTGCGCCATATTCTGCTGCCTTTTCCATGCCATTAGCAAGGAGCTGCATTGAAAGTAGTTCTGGGCCGGTGCCATGACTCAATAGGCTAATCCTCCACCTTGCGGCACCAGCACACCGGGTTCTAGTCCTGTGGCCAGGGAGTGCAGTGGAGGATGGCCCAAGTGCTTGGGCCCTACACCCGCATGGGAGACCAGGAGAAGCACCTGGCTCCTGCCATTGCATCAGCGTGGTGCGCCAGCCGCGGCAGCCATTGGAGGGTGAACCAACGGCAAAAGGAAGACCTTTCTCTCTCTCACTGTCCACTCTGCCTGTCAAAAAAAAAAAAAAATGTAGTTGTGCTGGGACTTGAGCCTATGTAGGATGCCAGCATCGCAGGCAACAGCTTTATCAGCTACACAACAACACCAGCCCTGGGAAATATTTTAAAACCAAGTATTCTTAACTAAATCCCCCATGAACTCCGCAAAGACCTCAGTAATTTACAAACATTATAATCACATGTAAATTTGTACATACATGTTCCTGATTTTTCCAGAGATACTGAGCTTTCATCAAATTCTCGGGTTCAAGGACCTCAAGAAGCAACTTTCTTTTTTTTTTTTTTAAAGGTTTTATTTATTGGGGATGGCGCTGTGGTATAGGGGATAAAGCCACCACCTGCAGAGCCAGCATACCATATGGGTGCCAGTTCAAGTCCTGGCTGCTCCACTTCTGACCCAGCTTTCTGCTACATTCTGGGAAAGCAGTAGAAGATGGCCCAAGTCCTTGGGCCCCTGCACCTGTGCGGGAGACCCAGAAGAAGCTCCTGGCTCCTGGCTTCAGACTGGCCCAGCTCCAGCCATTGCAGCCATTGGGGAGTGAACCAGCAGACAGATGGAAGATCTCTCTCTCTCTCTCGCTCGCTCACTCTCTCTCTGCCTCTCTGTAACTCTGCCTCTCAAATAAATAATATTTTTTTAAAAATTTATTTATTTGAGAGGCAGAGTTACAGAAAGAGAAAGGGTAACGGAAAGAAAGGTCTTCCAACTGCTGGCTCACTACCTAAATGGCCACAATGGCTGGACATGCTGATAATTATAAAGCACTTAATAGCCTAAGTTTGCAGACCATAACATTTGTGTCACTTACTCAATTCAACCACTGTAGCCTGAAAGCAGCTACATTATATATTAACAGCTGGGCATGCCTAATACCAATTAAATTTTATTTACCAAAAACAGCAGGGGGCACTATAGTTTACTAAATCCCAGAATAGTCTATAAATATACTTTAAAATGATATGCTCCTTTAAAATTGATAATACCTCAATCATTATGAAATTCTTTGCTAATAAATGATACACTTCTACTCTTACTCTTGCCTTACTTCCAGCCATGTCAGAATTTTGAATTTAAAAAAAATTAATTAATTTATTTTCGGGGTGCAGAGACAAAGAGAGCAAGATACAACAGAAGGACAGAGATCATTCCCCAAATGCCCAAAATGGCTGAGACTCAGCCATGCTGAAGCCAAGAGCCAGGAACTCAATCCAGATGGCTAACACAGATGGCTGTCATAGGTATTTACTGTAATTTTTGCATAAGAAGGCATGCCCAGCAACCTTCTTTCCCACCACCAAATCACTGAAAGGAGCTTTACCTGTAGGCCAAGAAAGCCACTGGCCGCTGATGCCCGTGTTCATCAGTCATAGAGCCAACGCTTGGAGGTTCAACAATAACATCGTAAATTATTCCTATGTGAAACAGAATACGAAAAATGACATTGACTTCCTAATTTTTAGAAATAGGGTGATTTTTATTGTGTGTAGGGTTCTTGAACATTTGAACAGTACCGTGTTGATTTGTATTTGTTTTTAAGATTCATTTATTTATTTTAAAGGCAGAGTTATAGAGAGAAAGAGGGAAAGACAGAGATCTTCCATCTGCTGGTTCACACCCCAAATGGCTGGAGTTCGGCCAGGCCAGAGCCAGGAGCCTGGAACTTTTTCCAGGTCTCCCACGTGGGTGTCAGGGGCCCAGAGATGTGTGCCATCCTCTGCTGCCCTCCCAGCCACATCAGCAGGGAGCTACATCAGAGTAGAGCAGCAGGGATTCAGACCGGCACTCCTATGAGATTTCAGCGCCACAGACAGTGGATTAACTCACTGGCCAACAATATCGGCTCCCTGATCAAAATCTTCTAACTTTTGTTTATCAGACATTTAATTCAATGTTTAAGAATAAATACTAAAACAAAAATAATCTCCAAAGGAATTTCACAAAGGAAATGCATTCAGTAACAGTTGCTAATACTCAAGAATGATTCCACAATAAAGGGGATTTAACATTAAAGAATTTATTTTAGTTCATTAAAATGTCCCATATGTTTAGGTTTGTTTCTGTAAGTTGCGAAGTAATTAGAGAAATTTTCTTACTCAAATGTAAAACAAGGAGACATTTTTAAATCATACCATTTGGGAGAAGGACATTACTAGATATTCATGATCATCAATGTTAATGTCCATCATTATGTCTTAATATCATCATGATCACTAATATTAACGCCCAACATTAACAGTTTTCTCAGCTCACTGTTAATATTTCTTCTTTACTTTCTCCACTTTTCTTAAACATCCTCACCTCTAGTTTTCTTAAGCAGAGCAATCCAGTGTCAACTTGACCCTAGTTTGACAAAACAGTCACAGAAATTCCCTTATCTCCTCCCCACCAAATCTACAAATTCCTGGTACCTGGATCCTTCCCCACTTCCTTCCTTCCAGCTACACTAGAAGAGTCCCTGCTCCTGTCACAGTGGGAGTTCTCAGAACTCCGTTCCCTTTCCTTCTCAGGAAAGTCCTTGGTTCTCTCTTCTCCCTTGCATATTCTCAAGTTCTCCTTCCCTACATCTATGCTCCATTTACTTCAGATGCTCCTAGTCAACATCCTATTTCAATGCTTCCTTTTTGAAAGAGTCAGGCTTCTTTCTGTAAAGAATTAAGCAAACTTTTCATTCAGCTCACTCCAATCTGGCCTCTGCCACCACGGACTGTGTTCCTGCTAAGGCTGTCAACAACCTCTACCAGCGAATCCAAAGCACACTTGCCAGCAGCACTCAATCCTGTTCATTAACCCATTTGCTCGAATAACACCCTCTTCATCCAGCTTTCTCGACACTCCTCTCCATGTTTCCTTGCTATCCCTCTGAGCTTCCTCTTCTATGAAACCATTAGATGTCAGAATCTCTCAGAGCTTGCTCCATTGTCCTCTGCACTCTCTCAAAAATTAAGCTCCCAGGGCTTTCAATTCTACGTGCCAACGATTCTCAATGTGCCAAATGATGTTAGAACCATTAAAATTACATAAAAGGTCCTTAAGAACAAGGATACTCTCTGCATTCTTCAATATATGACTTAGGGAGTCCAGGAGACATTTGTTAATTGAACAACATCAACACAGACTTCTTTTCTCAGTTCTAGACTTCTATCTGCAAATTTGAAACATCCAACTAATTATATCCCAATACGATCTCTGGTTCAACACTTCTCATTAAAAAAAAAAAAAAGAAAAATTTCATTTCTTCAGTCCTACGAAACATCAATTCCATCTACTCAGGTGCTAAAATCAGAAACCAATAAATTCCTTTACACTTCATTTTTCCCCTCTATCCAACCAATCCATCAAGACTACTGAATCTGCTTCCAACATATCTCTCATTTTATTATTCTCCATTTCCATATCCATCCACCTAGTACAGGCTAAGTCAATGACACAAGCTAGGAAACTGGTCTCTGAGTCCCGTATTTGTCTATACTTTTCCCTCCGCACAACATACCCTCCAAAACCCTTCAGAGTCTAGTTGACATTTCCTCAGGAACCACATTCCCAGTATTTGTTCATAGTCTTAATCTTTTCCTTCACTGCATTTCTGACAATTTGTAAAGGGGAAAAATAATTCTGATATTTAATATGTCCCAACTATGATATAAGCTTCAGGAAGGCTGGGTCCCTACATTTTGCTAACTTTTATCCCCAATATCAAGTGCCTAGAACTTAATAAAGACTCATTACATATTGCTGAGTACTTCTTGGCAAATATACTTCTTATATACTAAGGTACACTCATTGTTTTTAAGGGAGATTCCTATCTAGTGGTCAGATTTCTTATACAAAATATCTCATGGCCTTGACCACTAAATGGAGTCATTTCCACCTTCCCCCATTACAACCACCAACAGAGGAAAAGTGGCCGGAATGAAAACTGAAGCTCCAGCTCCAAGACAGGAGCAGATGCCACCTGTTATCACCAGCATCCCACATGGGTGCCGGTTCGAGTCCCAGCTGCACCTCTTCCAATCCAGCTCTCTGCCATGGCCTGGGAAAGCAGTGGAGGATGGCCCAACTCTTTGGGCCCCTGGAACTGCGTGGGGGGCCTGGAGGAAGCTCCTGACTCCTGATCGGCACAGCTCCAGCCGTTGTGGCCATCTGGGGAGTGAGCCAGCAGATGAAGGACTTCTCTCTCTCTCTCTGCCTCTGCTTCTTTGTAGCGCTGCCTTTCAAATAAATAAACAAACCTTTTTTAAAAAAGAAAACTATTTTTCATTTTTAAGAAGTTCCACGCATTATAAGTTTCATTCATTCAATATAGTACCTATTAATGTGCTGAGTAAATGTTAATGGTAATACAATGTGAGATAGGATCAAACCAAGAACAAAAATATTTAAAATTAATTTAAATGAATGTAAGTTAACTGTCACTATTCTAGATGGGGGGGGGGTTGAATTTAAAGGTGTCTTCTACAATAAAGCCCTCCCAGTTGCATATTCTGCCATCTTCAGTGCCGATTATTCTCACAAACATTTATGAAAACGACGATATGACGATTACACAGTTGGCTAAAGCTTGAACTTTATAACTTCCCAACTAAATTGAACATTTCCCAAAATTTGAAAGTACAGCAGCACTGTCGAATAAACCTCGGAACAGAGGCTTGAAAGGGTGGAGGCTGTTTAGACTGCAGTCAGATTGCCAACTCACCAGGATACAAGGACACGCCCCTTTGCAACTTTCTCTTTGAAAACGACAGCGTGACAGATCATTGTAAAGCACTTAATAGCAAGGCTTTTTTTTTTTTTTTAATTCCTGTCTCCGGCCTTCTGAAACACAATACCTTCTGCAAATCTCACGTCCAATCTCCAAAATTTGTGCAAACTGTGATTTTGGAAAATTCCATCTATATTCTTTGTAGATCACCCAAAAAGCACTGGACTCTCAGGTTTAAGCTAACACACCTAAGGATGGTCAGGTCTCTTTCCAGGTTCGAGAAAACTTAGAAGAAGTCCGACACCCTCTTGCCCAGCTACGGAAACAGAGTAGGCCAAACTAGACTTTCCTAGGCCCTTTGACAAACCATGTATGGCAAGAATAACAAGGGCACCAATTTAGGATTGGAAAATATACTCAACTCGCATCCCCAGGATAAGAGATTAGAAGGAAAGGAGCAGCCAAGGGAGTAAGAACACTCGCTCTCTCAAGCCACGGGACAGAGCGCGGGAGCAAATAGCCTCTGGACATTCACAAGCACGACCCGAGCACTTCCCTCCACCTTCTGAAAGATCGGGAGGCAGAGCCCTGCTTTCCCCGGGGCTGAGGGAGTCAGCGGCACAGATGCACCGCCCAGGCGGGCGCGGCGCCTCTCGGGCCCCAGACACCCGAGTTACCTCCGGTGATGAGGAAGTAAGACACCACCACCAGAGCGTACACCGTCATGGCCGACGGCATGTGCACCCAAGGAGGCTTCTTCAGCTTCAGATTGGGACATTCGAGCACTAAAAACGGGACTCGGTACAAGGTCTCCATGTTAGCGGCAGCAGGGACAGCGATGGGCCCCAAGCCCCACGCGCCACCCGGAAACAGGCCCGCCCTCCTCATTATCTGCGCGTGCGCGGGGAAGGCACCGACAGGTCCGGAAAGCTCCAAGGTATATATTACATCCATAGGGGAAAAGAAAACGCCAAGGAGAACAGATAAATGATATAATTTAAAATTCTGTGTTATTTAATTTTCTTAAACTTAAATTGGGATTAGGATCTTAATGTATTTCCAAAAACTTAGATGATAACATAGATGATTTATGTACCTTCAAGGACCTTCTGAGTTTTAGACGTGGCCGTGCCTGAGGAGCAGAGGGAACCAAACCCCTCTGAGTCCCTCCCACTTGCTGACGCAGAGAGATTGGAAGCTGATTGGACGCGGGGCGCTTAGGTTTCCAGATCTCGAGGATGAATGGAATCGTGTGGAAGGCTCCGCCTTTTCTGTGAGCAGTTTGGTTTTTTTTTTTTTTAAGCCTGAAATTGCTGAACAATTACTTCCTGTTGTGTAGTAGTGATAATAATTGCTAGAATAATACATTGTTAATTTAAAAAGATATCCACCCCAGGTCTATCACAAATGTCAATAAGACATCTTCCTAGGGATGCCTTAACGCTGCTATCTTGACGTGACCATAAACACTGTGGTGAATAGCATTTACCCTCCCAGCTTTGCTTCTCCCTCCGTCACCTTCAGGTCGGTGGGCGGAAAATCTTGGAGCCGTTCAGCTTCTCTCAGACCTTTTTGATCATGCTATCCTAAGAGCTCCAATTCATGCACTTTTCTCCATTCACGCCCTGGCCTGAAGCGCCAGCATCCCTTATGGGCGCCGGTTCGCATCCTGGCTGCTCCACTTCCAACCTTCTCTGCTGTGGCCTGGGAAAGTAGTAGAAGATGGCGCAAGTCCTGGGGCTCCTGCACGCATGTGGGAGACACAGAAGAAGCTCCTGGCTCCTGGCTTGGGATCTGCGCAGCTCCGGCTCTTGTGGCCAACTGGGGAGTGAACCAGCTGATGGAAGACCTCTCTCTGCCTCTCCCCTCTCTGTGTAACTCTGACTTTCAAATAAATAAATAAATCTTAAAAAAAAAAAGATTCTTCAAATGTCATTTCCTTCTGGAGTAACAGTTTAAACTGACTGATTAAATAAATCCAGAACAGGCTGAAATATTACTGATCCAGTGTTTTTATGGTTTTTGTTTGCCTGTTACTGAGCCATTTTTTTTTACAGAATGCTGCCAAGTTTATTCTGTACTTTAATTAGTTAATGACTTAGTGGCAAATTTTTGAGGAGCATAAGAATAAAAATATTTATTTATAAACATTGCAGCATCTAATTGCAAGTATGGATGTCCAGTAGTGAAGTATTTGAGAGTCTTAGTCACCTGTATATTAAGGAAGATTCATAAATCTTAGGTGATGAATGTAACCTTAGTAGCACCGATGATGAAGTGTGTATAAACCAGAACCAGCCTGTGTACGTAGAAAGTCTGGGAAGCATGTTTCTGAAATTTCCGTAGTTTTATAAATAAAGGAAATATTGGAATAGTTTGAAATGAGTTGCCATTTAAATTGGAATTAAAAGTTTTAAAATATCAGAGACCGGAACTGTGGCATAGTAGGCTAAGCCCCCACCTGCAGTGCAGGCATCCCATATGGACACCAGTTCGAGTCCTGGCTGCTCCACTTCCAATCCAGCTCCCTGCTAATGGCCTGGGAAAGCAGCAAAGAATGACCCAACTGCTTGGGCCCCTGCAACCATGTGGAAGACCTGGAAGAAGCTCCTGGCTCCTGGCTTTGAATCAGCCCAGCTCTGGCCATTGCAGCCATCTGGGGAGTGAACAAGCGGATGGAAAACATTTCTTTCTTTCTCTCTCTCTCTCTCTCTCTCTCTCTCTCTCTCTGTCTCTCTAATTCTACCTCTCAGATAAATATCTTTTTTTAAAAAAAGTGGGTTTTTTTTTGACAGGCAGAGTGGACAGTGAGAGAGAGAGACAGAGAGAAAGGTCTTCCTTTTGCCGTTGGTTCACCCTCCAATGGCCACCACGGCCGGCGATGGCAGGAGCCAGGAGCCAGGTGCTTTTCCTGGTCTCCCATGGGGTGCAGGGCCCAAGCACTTGAGCCATCCTCCACTGCACTCCCTGGCCACAGCAGAGAGCTGGCCTGGAAGAGGGGCAACCAGGACAGAATCCGGCGCCCCGACCGGGACTAGAACCTGGTGTGCCGGCGCCGCTAGGCGGAGGATTAGCCTAGTGAGCCGCGGCGCCGGCCCAAAAAAAGTTTTTAAATCTTTTATAATTTGAGGAAGGAAATTAACAGTGATTAACTATTGCCAGGCAGATACTATATTAAGTGATTTAATCTTTGTGACAATTCTATTAGACAAATGTTAACCTAATCAACATTTTACATGACAGAGGTTAAGCTTGGCAATGAAATAAACTAAGCAAGTATGGTATAATTTGTGATTGAATAAGAACTAAAAGGCAATTTCTATAAAAGTAACACAGATTTAAGATGTACTCTTGTATATTTCTATATAGTCTGGTGCCAAATATAATCTTTCCTTAATATCTGCAGGAGGATTGGTTCAAGGATTACCTATGATAGCAAAATCTATGGATACTGAAGTTTCTTATATAAAATGTCATAGTATTTGCATATGTGTAGTCTATGTACAGCCTCCTGTATAGTTGAAATCATCTCTAGATTACTGATATCTAATACAATGAAGTGATATGTAAACAGTTGTTATGCTGTAATGTTTAGGGAATAATAACAAGAAAAAATGGCGTACATGTTAAGCACAATTTTTTTAAAAAATTTTTTTGACCCAAGAAGAATGGAGTGTAAAACTGAAATCTACCAAGACTTTTGTGTTGAATGTAGAAAATCTTAATAAAAAAAATCCTTGAAGTCAGGAGTGGCTTTGCCAATTCAAAGAAAAGAAACTTGCACAACTAAGTTTTTAATTCTTAACAAACTAGATTACAAAGGTTAATCATACTGTTGCTTTCAGTGTATAAATATGTGCTAGGGAAGAAATTAGTGGCCTTGTTTTCTGTAATATAATAATACACAGTATTAACCTGGATTTATTTTCAAGGACATTTTGCAGTTTGGTTGACAGTCTCTGAAATTATGCTCTTTCACTCTAGGTTCTGTTTAAGCACTGATATGCCTGTTTTCCCAGCTCAGCAACTTTATATTTTAAGGGCAACTGTACCAAGCACTTTTGTGGGCACTATTATGTCTCATAATCTGAACATAAATTTTCTCTAATGCAGTATTGTGGAGGGTTGTTGTTATTGTTGTCATTATTTTAAATTTTGAAAATTGTCTTCAGAATGATACTAGTAAAATGTAGTTATATCCCCTTGGTAAAATTAATTCTATTAATGTAAATAAAACAGTATAGCCTCCCTACTAGATCAAAAAATATTTCAATTAAGTTTAACTATTCAACACAATTTCTAGTACACCAGACTGACAAAAATTAAACCCAGGGATGGGAGTTGTGGCACAGCAGGTTAAGCCACCACCTGGGATACCCACATCCCATATCAGAGTGCTAGTGGGCGTCAGCTCCTCCACTTCCAGTCCAGCTTCTTGCTAATGTGCTTGGGAGGCAGCATATGATGGCCCGAATGCTTGGGTTCCTGACACTTGCATGGGAGACCCAAATGGAGTTCCAGCCCCTGACTTCAGCCTGGAAGAGTCCCAGCTGTTTTTGGCATTTGAGGAGTGAAATAAATGATGAGAACCAGCTATGTGTCTTTCTGTCTTTCTCTCTCTGTCACTCTGCCATTCAAATAAACAATTAAAGCCTTGTGCCGACCCGATGTTCACTGTTATTGTGGATGAGATAAAGTGGGCTCTTGTGGTTGACAAATTAATAAAATGGTAAAAAATTAAAATATTTTTAAAACCTCTCTAGAGGGGCCAGTGTTGTAGTGCAGAGGATTAAGCCTCTGCCTGCAACATCGGCATCTCATATGGGTGCCAGTTCATGTCCTGGCTGCTCCACTTCCAATCCAGCTCCCTGATAATGTGCCTGAAAAGAAGGCAGACTGCCCAAGTACTTCAGCGCCTGCCACCCATGTGGGCAACCTGGATAGAGTTCTGGGTTCCTGACTTCAGCCTGGACCAGCCCTGGCCTTTGCCATTTGGGGAGTTACCAGCAGATGGAAGATATTCTCTCTCTCTCTCTCTCTCTCCTCTTCTTCCCTCTCTCTCTCTCTCCTTCTCTTTATCATTCTGTCTTTCTTTTAAAAAAATTATTTATTTATTTGAAAGGCAGAGTTACAGAGAGGTAGAGGCAGACAGAAAGAGAAATCTTCCATCTGCTGGTTAACTCTCCAGATGGCCACAGTGGCCAGAGCTGCTCTGATCCGAAGCCAGGAGCCAGGAGCTTCTTCTAGGTCTCCCATGCGGGTGCAGGGGCCCAAGCACTTGGGCCATCTTCTACTGCTTTTCCAGGCTATAGCAGAGAGCTGGATCAGAAGTGGAGCAGCCGGGACTTGAACCAGCCGGCGCCCATATGGGATGCACTGCAGGTGGTGGCTTTACCCGCTACACCACAGCGCCAGCCCTGATTCTGCCTTTCAAATACATATATCTAGAAGAAAGTCAATAATAAAGCTATAAAAATATTCAAATATTTTTATCCAGTAATCCTTCCAGCAATTCATTCTAAAGAAATCACTAGAACACCCTTGGAGGTGCCTTTACAAGCATGTTTGACTGTTATTTGTTGCATCACTTACGACCACTCTTGGCTGCATGGAACAGAACCTCGAAGGGGCTTGTGTAAGTGGAGGGTTTACTCTCCTCAGAAATCAGGAAATTCAGAGGCCAGCAATCCCAAGCTGGTGCAGTAGCCCCTGCAGGTTTGCCATCAAGGATCCAAGCTCCTCCAGTCTTTCCCCTGAGCCATCCAAAGCACATAGCCGCCTTCCTTGTGCTGAGCTGAGCCTCTGGTACTCTTAGGTTTCACGTCTGCACTCTAAGCAAGACGAAGAGATAGGGTAGAGGCTCATGCTTGC